TAACTGTATATTTAGTACAGACTCGCTCCTAGGGGCCAACGCTGTCGGTAAGGGGCAAAGTGTGTAGTGGTCTCGACTTCACTCGGGCCTTTGGCGATCTGTCTATTAATCTGTGGTTATACTATAGAAAGGAATGCATTGAAACTAGGCCTCAGATATTAATATAATGTGCTTCTAAAATATGATATAAAAATATGTAGACCATATATTCTTTAAACAGTTGCATTTTAGTTTAGGCTTATCAACGGGCAAACTTTAATACAAAATTTTGGATGCAAGGAACAATTATCTGTAATAAGACTTTGTTGAAATGAATAAGACAGATGGTGTTAATGGCTTATCTAGTTAATGACCACATTTCCCAGGAAAGTCTTTATACATATGTATATGTATGAGGATTTTGATATACTATTGGATGTGTTAGATATGCTGATATTATATTGTTTTATATTTTATTAAACACATAAATTTACACATATAATTCGTGACTAATTACTATTATTTATTGTTTTTTTATACATGGTGCAATAGGTATAATTAATTAATTAATTATGCAGTGTTATCGATTGTAACATAATATTGTTAGGTTGTCATTGTATCGATGATAATTCCGATGTCCATATTTAACATATAAGGAATTTTCCTAAAGATTGCACAACATATATTCTCATTTTATTTGCATGTCTAGTACCCTCAGCAATCATAATCGTTCAAAAGAATGATGTAGGCAATAATACCCTAAGTCATCTGTAAACAAAAATACTAACGTATATCTATTATCATACAGATTAATTATAAGATAGTTATATAGTCTAATATAATGATGCTCTTTAAATAATGAACTTAAACTCATGTGTGATATATATTTCTTTTTTATTTCTAAAACTGATTTCTTTGTAGTCTGCTTTCTTGTAATAAAAAATATAAATTCGACACAATTAAAAAATAATCTTAGGATTAAAAATTTAAACAATGTAAGATTTGGTTACGTTAACACTTATGACTTATGACCTTTGCATTAATATTTATAATTTTTAAGCGATGTAACTTTATATTTGTTTCTCATCTTTATATTGGTTTCACGTTTCTGTGAATCCTACTTGCAGACATTATTTAATTTAGAAATTAATTTAGATAATTCGTGATTTATTTTAAACTATATTTCCAATATTATTTTTAAATATTATTTATTAATAGCGCTCAAAATCATACTGTTTAATTAGTAGAAAGCCTCAGTGCTAAAATACTTTGAAATAATAAAATATTGTTACACCCGGTCAAGACGCCACGTAATGAAGACTGCTGTTTTGTTTAACAGAAGTATTGATTTGAAAAAAGAAGATTCGAAGTTTGGCCCTCGTTGACCGCGGACGCGAGTGTAGGCCGCTCCTGTATTATTAATTAATAAAGACAGTTTTTCCTCGAAAATAGTGTCCTCCCATTATTCTCGCGGGCGTGCTCGCGAGTGAGAGTGAGTGCCGGGAGCCCGATTTTCTCCCGCAGACGTATCCTAGGCGTAACAATATTTTTAAATTGACTGTATGTTGTCTATGTGATATGGTTCTATTTAATTTCATCTAGTTGACACATACACGTACACACACACACACACACAACGCGTATGCGCATACATATATAATGATTTTCAGATTACCGTTATATCTTTATTACATTATATTCTGTCGTATTGCTAGGATATATTATCGGTTTAGATCTATTACAGTTTGTGGGAAAGTGATATATGCCATTACAGTCTATCAGTTGTAATGTTTTGTCAAAACAAATTCTTATCTCCATCACATATGATTCTTGCGTTTCCTGGAAAAAAGTATAAATTTCTTGTAATAATTACTATGTGTATTTGTTTATATGTATATATACCGTTTTCTTTCGTATCCGTAAAGAAACCATTCAAACAACGTTTATGTATATTAAAATAACTTTTGAACTTACCTTGTCAATTATACACATTATTTGTCCCTTTTTAGTCAATATTTTTTCGATTTTTGTTAACATATCTTCTACCTTGTATCTGTTACCTGGCAAAATATTTGCTTTCGCAAGTACATCCATCATATTATACTCCTTGAGTAATTTTAGTCCAGTTTGGAAATAGTTAAATTCATTGTCTAAAGGCTTCATTGCGACTGCACAAGTGCCATGTTTGTCCCATTCATGTTTCCAGAACGAATAAGGCTTAGACCCTTTATGGATATCAAGCCAATTTTCTGTTAATTCTTTTTCTATAGGCTTTAAAAAGCTTGGATCAAATTTTGACGTATTGTTACAGAACTGTGGGCCTAATGTATTGTATTTGGTAGGCCAAATCCCATGGATAGTCCATGAGTCATGGTTAGGTAACACGCAACTATGTGTACTGGAATCTTGTGTCCACACGAGACAAGCTGTAAACGGCCATTGCTGAGTAAATATTAGGACATCAAATTCGTTGGATGTTTGTTGTTTGTATTCTTTCCTGTTGTTGAATGTTTGTTGTTTGTACTTATTCCTGTTGTTAAATGTTTGTTGATTGTGTTTGTAATCTTTCTCGTTGAAGAATGTTTGTTGTTTGTATGCTCTCCTGTTATATAAAGTATAAAGAATTCTCTGTTATATAAAATTTAAAAAATTTATCTTTTAAATTACAATTCATTATTTTACATTATTCGTAGAGTTATATGAATTATTATAATTATATCTGACAATTGAAAATTATCTGTTATTTAGATTTTGTATACAAGAAAAATTTAATAAATCAATTACAATAGAATACTCATGTGATCTTTTGGTTGAACCAAAGTATAGCTTGATTGACTCAAGTATATCTTAATTAATTAAAATAACTGACAGTTATATAATTACATACCCGATAAAAAAATTTTCATGCATACGTATCTATTATATAAATGTATAGAATTACATCAAATTATATATGATATGTTTATACATGTTTTTACATTGTGTTTTTCTATATAAGTCTTTTTAATTCTGTATAATTCTATAAAGAATAAGAACAAGTGTCCATAGGCAAATAGCTCCATTTTTCGCATTCGATTTTGGTCACAAAATAGATACCAAACGAAAGGTCTCGTCAAGTTGATTACAGATATGTCAGTCTCAAAGTGTACTTATTTAATATAAAGCAGTTCCAGAGATATCGGGCTCCAAAGGTTTCAGTGCCAAATACTTTTTACTTTTACTGAACCTATTGGTTAGATTGTAAAAAATAAAAGAGCTACAGATCATTAATTGTAAATTGAAAATTTGCATATTGCTTCCTCATCGTCTGGGCAAGTTAATTTTTAATGTTAAAAATGCAAATTGGAAATTTGTACATTACTTTGTCATTTGGACAAGTTGTTATTTTTCATTTCGGCTTCCTTATAGAGAAAGCTTTGTGAGTTAAGGTACAAATCGGAAATTGCATCTTTAAAATTTTAAAAATATTTAGAAAATTATGTAAGAAAATCCGGATGAAATTGAAATGCTGGAATTATGCGTACATATTTCGAACAACATATGCAGAAATGGAGACCTTCCATCAAATATTAATAAATATTTGCACAATGTATTTTTAAATATTATGTCAGCAAAACAGCTGCGTTTTGACGAATTATCTTGGCAGAATATTTGCACAATTAAATTGTTGTCGTGTTACGACAAGCTGCCGCTACGAGGTATCTCATACTCGTAAGTAAAATTCAGGCGAGACGAGATAAAAACAGGACCAGCTGTAAATATGTCCCATGTTAAATTTTTTTAAACATTTATTACACGTAACTGTGTTGCTGGGCAATTTTGCTGCAAAATGTCGAAATATAGTAATTGTGCATGATTTATCCCCTAAATTAAAATTACCAATTTTTGGACAGATACCATTTAGAAATTTTATTTCTACAAAACCGCTGCATTTTGGCAAATTACCTTAATGCAATTATTGTGAAATTTCCTTCTTTTGAATGGTGCATATTGTTACACAATATTTGAAACATTTTCCAATTGAGGTATTTTAGATTCGTAAGTCGATGATCAAATCGATATCGATCATGATTTTTCAGATCGTTTGTCGATATCTTGTCAACGTATATTTAACAATAATAGTTTTTTTAAAATAAAAACACTGACCAGTGTAGGTCGTTTAAAAAAACTCTCATTGGTTTTATATTACTGCCGGTAGGAAATCTATTTCTGAGTATATTTAACATCTCCTAGACATTGACAAGATATCGTCCTCTCTATACATATCAATTTGATATATTGAAGATAGCGTATCAAGGTCGACCAATTATTAATGATTTAGTTGATATCATATTAAGTCGAGTCAATAAATAGAGATATTGATTCGACTTCACAATCTGATATCAATTGAAATATGACTAGATCATGGACATCTACAGAATATTTTTCAGATATCGTGATAAAATCTTGTAAATATCAATTTAATTATTGATTTGCATATAATCTCAACTTGATTTCAATATGATATTTATTAGATTCTTGATCGACTTAGAAAATATGCAAGATAGAAAAAATGTTAAGGCCGAAAGTTGTAGGGTTTTAATTGACCATTAGATTTCAATTAAAAATTAGATTACAATTTACTATACATATAGTAAACCCGGAAACTCATAACTCAGAGAGTATTTAACGAAAATATACTTTATTATAGTGTTTTGATAAGCTCTCGAGGTAAGCTACAAGAATATATAATGAAAAAGAAGGAGTTTTATTTAATAATTTCAAGGTGAGCTTTACATGATCTTAACGAAACTGTTTAAGGTCATACCGTAATTGAAATCTAATGGTCAATTAAAACCCTACAACTTTCGGCCTTAACATTTTTTCTATCTTGCATATTTTCTAAGTTATTCAAAGAAAACGACATTTTTAAATTATATTATACAAACATATACAGGGAGAGTTTTATTTCGTGAACCAATTTTTTACCATGAAAGATGGATTACCGACCGAAATTGTAGCTAACCCGAGAAAAAAATGGAAAAAATTTCGTTATAGATATGTACAATATCTCAATCATGTAATATCTAATTGTATCTTGAGAGATATAATTATACATACACATATAGACATTTTTATGTGTTTTTTTTACGTTTTGAAACATTCTAAACACATTGGTAATGAAAACTCGAATACAATTTGTTTTCACGAAAACAAAGCTTTCTCTATGAAGAAGCAATATAGAATTATAAAGATTTATAAGTATATTGAAATTCCTTGAAATTGTGCACAAAATTGAAGAACATCTTTCCGATCGCCGTTCGACAATTGACAATTTATAAGAATTATAAAGATTTTAAGAAATACACAATGTAAAAACATGTAGCGACATATTTGATATATGTATATAAGTTTATAGAATTCTTCATATTTATACATGCTTATGCATGAATAATTTTTTATCGGGTATGTATGCTGTATCAGTAGAATAGCGATAAATATCGGTAGAACTTTTCTTTCAAAATGCATTAACAACACTTGTTAACAGTTGCGTGTGCACGTGCGCAAATGTGCTGACGCTAACGGATTTTATCTTTAATTATCGACATGTTGACCGAATGAGCTAAAATATTTACATAACACTACATTCAATTCATTTTGATGCCACCATCATAAATGTCCATTGTTTTACTCACCCATGCGTGACGCATAAGAGATACAGTAAGACAATACACGATGCAATGCTATACTTCCACATCCTGCTGGAAAGAAATCGTTCCATACAAGAAGAGAATGGAGACTGGCTCAGAGAGAGCAACGGAATTAAAGGCACTTAATACTCCCACTACCTCTTCCACTACCACCACCATTCTTTACACTGCCCACTCCAACAGCAGATAGTATTCTCCACCTAATCTTGTTGGTTCAAGCGGCTGTACTATAAAAGTACATAGTGTTGCACTGTCACGTGTATGTTTCTAATAAAGTGCATATTTCTAACCACATCAGCACACATTAAACTGAATATACATATTTTCGTTTATTGTGTAATATATTACAAAATAATTTGTAAAAATAATTTAAAATGACACAGGAAATTTTAGAGAAATAATTTTAGTATTGCAATATATTTTCCGCATTTGATTGCGTTAAATGTCAGCAATAATAATCATTTGTGATTATTTATGATATAATTGTCTTAAATTTGAGACGTAATGATTGCATATTTAAAGAGACCATTTATAATATTAAGAACATTATTACATTTTATTTAAAATCCTGTTAAAATTATATTTTAATAATAAGAGAGAATAAAACTAGAATTGATATCTTTCTAATAAAATGCATATTCTTAACTACAAGCACAAAACTAAATATATTTGTATCTATTTGTATAATATTATACAAAATAATTTGTAAAAATAAGTCATGTTTGATATAATAAATTTTAGAACCAAATAACTTTTGCATTGTGATGTATTTTTTTATTGTGTTAAATGTCACAATAATAATAATTTCTGATTACTTAAACAATTGAGATACAAATGTTTCTAATTTGAGAAGTAATTACTACTAATTTAAAGAGGTCATTTATAATATTAAGAACATTTGTTTATTGTTATATTCTACTTACAATCTTGTTAAATTTACATTGTATAATAATAAGAATAACTAACAATAACAGCTACTGGAATTGATATAAAGTCATATACATGGTCTGTCCTTAAAGTAGTCGGACTGAGTCAATTACAAAATATTTATTGACAGAAATAATACATGCGCTCAATATTCTTCAAAATAGGACCCTTCTGCATCCACACACCGCTGGGATTTCCAGCGGGACTTCCAGCTCTCATACGCTTCCTGGAATGCGGCAGCCGGAATGCTGTGCTCCCGGAGTGTTGAGCTCCCTCGTCACGGCCTGTTGTAACGCTTCCACCGAGCCGTGATGGTGTCCTTACAGGGCGGTTTTGAGGCGGGGGAAGAGGAAAAAGTTTGGTGGGGCAACGTCGGGACTGTAGGGTGGCTGAGGTAGGGTTGCGATGTTGTGTTGGCGATGACTGGGCGGACGCGAATGATGCGTTTTCTCAGCCGTTCAAGGACCTCTACGTAAAAAACTGCATTAAGGGTTTGTCCTTGTGGCACAAATTCCCTGTGGTTCACTCCTTTTGAATCGAAAACGCATCATCCGCGTCCGCCCAGCCATCGCCAACTCCTGGCGGCTCCATCACGACAATGCGCCGAGCCACACAGCCTTCCGCGTGGCGACGTAC